AGCATTGCAAAGTGGCCTAATGATCCAATATGGTCAATGGTCTAAAAATACCCCCCCCCCCCCAAAAAAAAAAACAAAAAAAACTAGGTAGCACATCCACACATTGCCTTGATACTGGTGCACATAAAAAAATTCATTCTGTACATGGATTGATAAAATTAGAGGGAACATAGCCAGTGGCATATACAATGAAATTATGACCTCTTTAGACTTCTATTCAGTATTTCTCTAGATACAATCTAAAATCCTATTTGCCCTACCACTAACAACAGCACACTGCTTGGATTTCTTAGGAGACTGATCAATTGTTACACCAAGATCTCTTTCTTTCATGACACTGTTTAGGTTATTTCCATCCAAAATATACTTATAATTCAAATTATGATAACCCACATACATTATCTTGCATTTTTTATAATTAAAACCCATTTGCCATTTATTTGCCCAACTCACTAAATGATCTAAATCCTTTTGTAAATCACCAACATCCTCTTCACAGCTAACAACACCCAAGACCTTAATGTCATCTGCAAATTTAAGTAATTTATTGACTAGTCCTTCATCTATGTCATTGATGTAAATTAAAAAAAGCAAAGGTCCTAAGTCTGAGCCCTGAGGTACCTCACTTGTAAGATTAATCCAATTTCACTGAACTCCATTTATAACAACCCTCTGTTTTTGTTCCATCCAGCCACTCTTCTATCCAATTTGCTAATTTATCCTCCACACTTATGTCCTGTAGAGATATTTTTTTACAAGCCTTTTATTTGGCACCTTGTCAAATGCTTTCTGAAAATCCAGTTACACCAAACCTACAGTTTTACCCTCATCTACATAAGCAGTAACCTTTTCAAAGAATGTCAAAAGATTTGTAAGGCAAGATTTTCCCTTAGTGAAATCATGTTGACTATACAATAAAATTCTAAACTTTGTTAAATATGTTTGCAAAGCATCTTTTATCAGACTTTCCAAAACTTTTCCCAAACTGATGCAAGTCTAATGGGATAATTTTTATCATCTCTCTTGAAAAGAGGAATGACATTAGCTAACTTCCAATCCTTTGGTACCTGCTCACTATTCAAGGACTTACAAAAAAATAATAGCAAGTGGCTGACATATCCTATCCTTAATCTCCTTCAAAACGCTTGGAAAAATATTATCTGGCTTTTACATGCAAGGAACTGATAAAAGGTAATTTAACTTTCAAGGGCATCATTCCCTTCACAAAACACCAAAACCAATTAACTAAAGTATCAAAACAAAACTAAATGTAGTTCTTCACATCCACATCTATTCAACAAAGTTTAAAATACATTAGCAGCAAAAATCATATGTATATTACAGTTGTATATATTAACCTTGATGAAGCTGCAAAGGCAAAACATTGGTTAAAATAAAAATAATTGATTTTATATATATATCTGGAATGTAAAGGTAATTTTTTCTAAACTTTTTATTAATAGGTAATTTGTTTACATTTTTATCTTATCTTCTTTTCCATCTTCTCAGGTCACCATATTTGGGTTAGGCTTTTCAGTTTACTCGTCAGTCTTTGTGGTACAAGAAAATTACAGAAATTTCCAAATATAGTAGTTTTAAATATGTAAGAGTAAATTCTCTAATGATCTAGTTCTCATTGTTCAGTTTCTTTTATTTTCCTTAAAAGACAAACTGTGTAAACCAAAAGTTCAGCAAACTAATGCACTTCTTGAGAAATCTAATTGAGCTTTGTAGTCACACCTCATGAATTGCATCAATAAATGTATAAAACATATTTAAAAAGTGTTAAAACATAGAAACAGCCTCAGATACCATCAGATACTTTAAAATATACTTGCTAAAGTCCCCTTTTACAGTTAAAACATATGTAATGAGTTATTTTTTCTCCTAACTGTGGATTGATGTTTTCTTTTCATTAAATACAAACATTGCATGTTTGATTATTATTAAGTTAAAGTTACAATGAATTTAGACATAATGTATCTGTTTTGATGTGTACTTAATAATATAATTGAAAATCATGTATCTTTTTCCCCCTAGTTCTTTCAAATATATGTATATATTTAAGTGAAATAAATAGTATTTGATGAGTTGTTAATGCCTTGTCAGTATGCAAGACCAGTGAGACAAGTTAAAACTGTTTTCAACCAGATAACTTTTTCTTTTATGAGTTGTTGGTACTGTGATCTACAGTAAACCATCAATGAGATTCTCTTATAATTGGTATTTGATTAAGCTTGTCCTCAAGCCATAAATTTACCAATTCTTATGTGGATGCTTCAAAGGTATAATGCATCAAGGTCAGGGTTTCATCCATGGAAGTTGGAAAGCTTTAGAAACTTTCCCATGCTACAAACAGATTGATAATAAAAATGATAAAACCTAGTACATGCACTTTATATTTGCTACATTTTAATGTACAGTATATGAATACAACACAAAAGAAATAATTATTTAGCGATAACTTGGCAAAGTTTAAATATAATGGACAAAATCATGTATGAGAATCAGAGTCATCATACAGCTACATATGAAGAAGAGGTTACATTTGTCTGTATGTGTGATGATAAACAAAAAAAAGTATGTTGAAATTAATTATCCAAATAATAAATCTTGTTGTCTGATATATATATATATATATATCCTTTCAAAAAATTGTTGAATGAAAATCATTTGAACTAAAAACAGTATTTGCAATAACTGAGTTTTGTGTAGCAAAAGCACTTAAACTTTAAAAGTCAAACATTCATCTACATATACGAAAGGAACATGGCCATTAGTGATATGTAGCTCAAAGCCAGTATAGCAAAGCAGTTGATGTCAGTAAAATTGTTATTGTTGTTTTTGAGTGTAAAGCTACACAATGGGCTATCTGCACTCTGTCCACCACTGGGAATCAAACCCCAGACTTGAAAGTTGTAAGTCCATAAACTTACTGCTGACTCACTAGCAGATTGTCAGTAAAATAACTTTAATGAAATTACAATTGTTGGTTAACTGACTAACATGTATTAATTGAATAAACAATTCAACTTAATAATATTGTCTCGTGTTATAGTTGTAATTGTTTAAAAATAGTATTTGTGGTGAATATTAAGAACCCTCAAGTGAAAACAGAGGAGAACACATTATAATTTGTCAACAACACTAAATCTGTCATATCATGGGCCAACAAAGCCTTTTGCCATATACCAGGGCTCATCAGGCTGGCTTGGAATCTACAGACATAGTAGTGGTCCATGCACTACTTATATCATCAGTTTCTATGAACAATGACTGTTATGGCTCAAACCAAATTGAACAAGTGAAGTGTAATCATCATAAGTTATTTACTTATCAGGTTTTTTTGAAAAGAATTAATAACACAACATTATTTTAATTTTAACAAAAAATATTTATTTATTTACATTTATTGTTATTATATTTTTAAATTAACTTTACTTTCATTCACAAGAACTGACAAACCCGCAAGCTAGTCTTCTTTATGTACTAGTGTTGTTTATCTATCTAAAATTTAATTACTTTTTTCCTTTCTTCCACTATTCAATATTGAACATCATTTGACAAGTTATGTTGGAAGAGCAGCTGTATATGCCAAAGATACAGAGCAAAAAAAATTGCAAATGTTTTTCCTGTAATAGCTATTCATATTGTTTTAGTAATATATATAACTTACTGTATATTATAGGTACTTCTACATCACACTGTTAAGAGAACCTATAGCACGTTTTCTAAGTGAGTTCCGTCATGTTCAGCGAGGAGCAACGTGGAAGTCTTCTAGACACTGGTGTGGAGGACGAGTTCCAACAGAAGAAGAACTTCCATTTTGTTATAGAGGAGATGATTGGAGAGGGGTAACCTTAGAGGAGTTTATGAACTGCCCACATAATCTTGCTGTTAATCGTCAAACACGTATGTTGGCAGATTTAACACTTGTAGGGTGTTACAATAATTCAGTTATGAGTCATAGAGCTCGTGATCTCCTTATGCTAGCAAGTGCCAAAGAAAACTTGAAAAAAATGTCTTACTTTGGTCTTTGTGAATACCAAAAAATATCTCAGTATCTCTTTGAAAGCACTTTCAATTTACACTTTTTTCAACCTTTTGAACAATTTAATGAAACACACAGCAGTCTGATTATGAATGAGATTGATATAAAAGACTTGAGAAAAATACGCGAGTTAAATCATTTGGACAGTGAACTATATAAGTATGCTAAGGAACTGCTTCTTGCTCGATTTAAAAGATTGAAGAAAGATGATCCTGATTTTCAGGAACACTTCCAGAATCTTGGGATAAAAAAATATGCATTGAAATGAATAACAGCAGCTTAATAATGTGGTCTCATCTCAAAGTTTTTAGCTATTTCTATTATTAATGTATTTTCAGTATAATTCCTGTGAACCTATGAAAAAAGAAAATTACATTAATATGGAGAGGCAATGTATGAATAAAAGTTCGAATTTATTTGTATTCATGTATATACAAAAAACAAAAAGAGAAACTATTTTGTCAAAAACTTGTATTCTGAGCACAATATAAATGATAACAAGAATCATTATATTTCAAACATAAATTTGTTACATTTGATAAGTGATATTTTACAAATAACTGAGTGAATGTTTGAGATGCGTGTAAAGTGAGGGAGTCTGTTTTTCTCAGTAGGTAGAAAATATCTGTGATTATCAAAGAACAGTTTGTTTTTTTCTATGCTTTTTTAGTTGTCATTTAAGAAATTTATCTTACCTCTTTAAAACTATAAATCAAGAAGTATAATTTTCTCACAAAGATTAATTTCAGAAGTATATTTTTGTGAAAAGCCAAAAAATTCTGTCTTTTTCAGTTTGTCATTATACATTATTAATGGAGATAAATGCCAGTAGCACTTTTTTGATTTATAAGCTACATTATTTGTAAACAATTTAACACAATAAGAGACTATTGTTAGCATACGTACTGGTACATACAGTTGAGTTTTGGAAGCCTAAATGAGTTGAGTTTTTTCTACTTTTTCAGAGCCAAAAATGTGTAATTATTAAAAATTAATAGTTATTAAATGAGGATTTATTAGATTTTTTTCATTTATATAGTGTTAGGTAACAAAATGGTGCCTCTGTATATATATATATATATATTCACATAACATATTCGTTTAGCTTATATGCATATTATGTGTGGTATTTTGATGATGCAATATTTTCTACTTTTAAATAAGATGAATCAACTAGTATGAAAGTAAGTACTTTGGATTTTTATAGAATTAGATTATAGAAAACACATACAGGGACTTGGACTTGTGTGTGTACGAGTGTTGCATGTTTTGCATTGTAATGACACTGACGTGCTTGCTGTTCAGTATGATTGCCAGCATGTTATACTTAAGTGTGATCATACTCATACCACCTTCTATATGTTTAGCTAAAGAATTCAGTTCACATTTTTGTTTATTTAGACCTGTAACATGAATATTGATTTCTTGGTTTTCTGTCTTATCAGTGGAGAAATGTTTCTGTAAGTCATTCTGGCAGTGGCTAGAGGTAACATGTTGAAGGAGAAGTACTTAGTGCTGGATTTTAAGTTTTCATAGGCTTAACAGGAAAACAAGTGGGTAGTGTATTTTCGTAATATGAACAAGTATCATATTCTAAATCTGTAGCAATTTTAAACTAGTATCAGGCTAAGCCTACATAATGAAACAAGTACACACTGTCCAGCCTATGTCATTTAATATAACAACTCTATTTGCTGATAGGTGGGGTTGAAAAACACTGGTTAACTGACTAAATAGCTAACTCAATCTTCTAATTAATTAATAAAGCTTCTCAGTTAAAAGTAAAATTATGAATATCTCTCATAAAGTTTACATGCATGTTTGTTTATTGTCTTTTTTTGAGTTAAGATATAATTTAAGAATACTGGTTGAAAAAATATGGTTATCAAAAAGAACTTATAAATTCCAAACTATTCAATAATATAAAACAACAGTATATTAAAAAACAAATAATGAAATACTCATAGTTTAAATAAATGTAAATAGCTTACCTGATTTTATATTTGAATGTATTATGGTCCCGTTTTTAAACACATGTTTACTAGGCTTAAAACAAATTCCCTTAATAACTCTGGTCAACATTATAAATATATTTGTATATATCTCAAAACAGTCCTGTTTTTTTAAGGGGGCAACTAATTGATCGTGTTGACTGTTCTGGACATGGTTTAAGGTAACACACTCAAAATGTAAAAGAAAGCAACATCTTTTTTTATACAATACACAAAAATATTGATGTTTTATAATGTGTAATATTATTGTAATAATCTTCATGGAACATATTTTTTAATTGATTAATGCATTTTGATTTTAATTGGTAACATTTATAATTTATTTTCTGTCAATGTCTGTTTTATGTACACAATGTGAATTTAGTCATTTGATTTAATTTGGTTTCAAGGTACCAGTAACAACACAAAAAATACACTACAACAGTAAGATTTCAAAGTAAAGAAACATGATAATAGAGGACTTCTTTCTTCAGGGATAAATTAGAAATGTTTCCAATTATTATCATAGCAGAAAGCTGTCGTTTTACATCAATTGGTAATGTGCTCAGATTTAATGCATCATTTTGAAGATAACAGCTTTTTACACACACTGTGTTAATTCTGTATGGACCTGGAACTGAGATGTAAATTAAAAAAAAGGAACAATGAAGAAAACATAACATGAAACTAAAGCATTTTTTCTCATTTAAAGATGCTTGCAGCTAAACATACAAGTTAATGCTATTATGACACTTAAACTAGAAGAATTGAAATAACTTTACAATATTTATCAAGTCAATGGAGAAAGCAGTTAAATTTTAAATATTAGTAGCTTTAATGCAGTGATAGAACAGCTATAGGTTTAAAATACCAGTAACTTTACAACATTGATAGTCATTGAAATTTAGCAGCTGATTTAGAATATTAGCAGCATTACTGTATATTAACAGAATCAGTGAAGTTTCCAAGTAAAGATGTTTGTAGCTTTAATAAACTGGTAAAACCACTAGAGATAGCAGCAACATTACACATACATTTAATAATAAGCTTTTGCTAAATTTATATAACTACTTGAGGCAACAGCTATATTTGAGATAGTAATAGCTTTACTATATTAGAACCATTGTAGAGTGTAGCTAAAGACCTTGTTAGTTTTACTGCTAATGATACGACTAATAAGAACAGCAGCTAGCTTTTCATCATAAATTAGAAAAATAGAAACTTTTGCTAACTTAATGATGTAACTATATTTCATGCATTTGTAAATCCACTGTGTATACAGTAGATTATCAGTATTAGTAGCAATATCGTACAACCGAAACAAAGCTATTAGATCTGTTGCAAGCATTAGAATACTAACAAGCAGATTTAACTATTGATTTCAGTAATATCTATAAGATGTATTGGATTTTAATAGCTAAACTCTACTTTGAAAACCTGAGAGTTCTAGCCCAAGACTGAAGGCAATATTGTATGCAGCTAAAACCCATAAAGTCCATGCATAGAACTCGAGTGGGGAAACTAGCAGCTACACATTTCACACTAGTTATTTCTGTGACAAATATAAATTTTTGATTGATAAAATATTTTGTTAAAATCAATAAAATCCATTGATAATATGAATAATTGAACTATATCTACGTACATTAAGGATTTGTTTAAAACAAAAGTACTTTTAAAATCAACAAGGTTCATATTGTATCTAGAATTATAAACTGTTAACATGTTTAAGAAATGTATGTAAATTATAAATCTAAAAACCATGCAATTAAATAAAGCAATTTTTTGTACTTTGTAGAGTGCTGTTTTAATAATGTATTCTATACTTTATTCTATTTGACCAGAAAGACAGCTTAATTTTTGTGTTGATAAATTTATGATAGATAACTGCCACCATTACTAAAATGTTCATAAGAAAATGTATCATCCAATCAATATTATTTCAGATATATTTACTTTATAGATAAAAAGTTATGTATTTGATTTATTCTGTTTTCTTAATAAATCAGCATGTTTAAACATTCTATAGTTATCATTGTTTTTGTGTATGCATGATGAAACGTTATTGAAGCATTGAATAGTCAGTTTTTGTACTTACCTCACTGGTTACAACCTTAAACACCAGGGTTTAAGCCAATTAAAGAGAGTTAAAATACCATTATTTAAATAAAAAAACAATAGAAAACCTATAACACGAGTAAGGAGAAAAGTGGAAAAGTAAGTAATGATAAGAAATACACTAGACAGAAAGATAATACAGTAAACCTAGAAATTTATGAAAATAACAGTAAATTTAATATAACATTTTTTTCAGGTTTTTTTTAAGCAAAGTAAAATAAAATATTAAATGCCAGAGTTTTATCATAGAGGATCATAGAAAATCTAGCATTTGTTATGGAAAATGATAATATTTAATTCAGCAATACTTTAATAGTTAATTATTAAAGAAACAAGTATTAGTAACTTCAAAAGTGTGAAGAAACACAGTATAAAATTGAGAAATCAAAGCTATAAATGTGAAATGAATGAATTTCTATTGGAAAAAGACAGGAGTAATTGTAATTTAGTTTAAAATAGTAATTTGAAATTAAAGAATGAGTAGCAACAAATATTAAGATATTTATGTTAAGAAAGACAACAATGAAAAACAAGTGTAAAATAATTTTTCAACTAAATTAGGGCAGCAGTAACTGTAAAGTAAGTTATTTAAACTAAGAGCACAATACCAGAAAGTAACAATATCTAAAAACAAAAAAAGAAAATAAATTTGTCAAGCTTAAGTTACTAACGTTCATGAAGTTTTACCTACTTTGTACATTTTATTTATATACTTGAATGGAATACATTTTATATGATTGATGTTGATTATGAAAAGTACAAACAAAAGAAAAATGACATAAATGTTTGTATTTTATCGGAAAAACAAAATTCACAGACTATATATAAACTCCTGGTTGTTAGAGCATTTGATTTTGCAATCTGTGGATTAAAATTCCATCACTGAACAGGGTTGCCTTTTCAGCTGTGGGGACATTATGTGGTGATGGCTAATCCCACTATTCGATCAGGGTTAGCAGCTGGGAGAGTTGACTAGACTAGCTGCCTTCCCTCTAATCTATCATTTCAAAATTAGGGATAGTCCTCACGTAAATTTGCATAAATTCAAAACAAATAAACCCTTGGTGGCTTTTTAGTAAGCCTGAAAGATTATAATGCTAATTTTTGAACTCTGATTGGGTTCAGCAATCAGCCCATTGCAACTTTCTGCTTAACAAACAAACCCTCCTACAATATAAGCAAGAAATTTTAAAATATTGGCAATAAAAAAAACAACTGATAACCAAAATACTGAATTATCTTATAATGATTATTCATGAAGCATTAATCGTATTTGTCAAAACCTTAATGTACATGTAAATACCTATTATGTTATCAAGTCCTTAGCCCACATTTATTTCATAAGAATACAAACCCCAAATGTTTTGCAATTATCTAGATACATACAGAATATTAAATTTTATAGGTAAAACATTGTTTATTCTAATATGAATCTGCAGATTGTTTACTTTTGTGATCTGAATACTGTTAATATACACTTTTATTACTGTACTTCTTTAATTTAAATATCAGTTTTACTAATGTTTCAGCTGTTCTCTTTGATTTATATAGTATTTTCAACAGTTACTTTAACTCAAACTGTCATATTTAGAGCTGTCCTTATATATATATATATATATATACTACAGAGTTACAGTTGTCTTCCTTGGTTTATATGTTGTTGTTGACCACTGCTTCAGTTTTCCTTAATTTGGAAGTTAGATTCTGAAAACAAGGAGAAGTCGCGTCTTTCTCCAGGTGCTAACAGGAAGGTTTTGAAAATAAGCAGATGTTGCATTTTTGTATCAATATATATATATATGCAATTTGAAGCATTAAACTTTTACAGAATATAAGAAAACCATTTCGTTTTATTTTTTTGCAAATTTGAATCAATAGTAGCCTGTCTTCATTCAAAATAATATAAAACCATTCTCTAAATTCATTGTTTTTCTTTTTATTTGTTTAACCTACATTTTGAATACTGGTCACGATTTGTAATTTTAACAGGATATTTGTTTTCTCAAAGTTTTTTTCCCTGTATTTTTATAAATTGAGCAGTGTCAAAATACCTTGGTATCTTGCACATACCAACTGAACCAATTTTGACTTAAAACTTTGTAAAAACTTTTTGTTCTATACTTTTTCATCACCCTTTCATTTCCACTGAGAAATTGACTTGGATTTTTCCAAATGTTTTGCACCTAACCAATTTGCTAGACACATTCCAAGTGAATGAAGAATACCATTATGGGCAGCAGTATATAACTTTGATTGCATACTTAAAATGCAATTATATCTGTAAATAAATGAATAAAACAATTTAAAATGACACTGCTTTATGGTACATACCTTACATAATTAACCATTACTTCCCAAGACAAACAATCCATGATTGATATAACTTTGTATATTAGTCATTGTCATGATAACAGTGTACTTATAGTGTAGGTGAGACTTTTTTTTTTTTTTATGGATGTAAGATAAGTTGATATATTGAGCACACCAGCACTAGCTTTTTGTTCTGTGAACTTGAAAATATCTAAATTTTGGGATCATCAGTGGATTCATAATTTCAAGGGAAATTTAGTTCAACACATATGATGTACACTTATCGGGTAACTCGCACATCAATGAAGGCTTACTTGACCAGTTAAAAAAAAAGGAATAATATGCAAAAACAATCGAAAAATTAATTTGATCACTGGTATAAATTATTACATGTAGTAAGTTTTATTGCCCATCAGTTGTAATAAATTATAGTTGATGCACATAGAAATGAAACTAATTGGCAATGCATTGTGAAGAGGTCTGGTGGAGGAAAATACAACAGATTCTTGGGTAAAAGGTTGTAATAACTTATACATCATAGTAAAGCATGAAACACTTCAACATACTGATAAGCACAAAACAGGTTTAATTCACTTTGAAAATCTCCAGTAAAGTATGAAGTAATAGATAGAAGAATGTTATCTTTTACAGGATAGCATATTTTAGATTCGTATATACAGAAGTCTGTTACAAGGAAGAAGAAGCATAACTTGGAAGAACTGACCCTTTTGTAACAGTCAACAAATCTCGAAGAAAAAAAAAGCAGCTGATACAAAAAGTAAGTAAATGTAGGGATGGCTAATAACAATGCAAACAAGACAGTAGGGATGGTATTTGCATCATCACAATGTAATAGCACAGGCAAAATTAACATATAGCTACATATATATATATAACTATTCAATCACAAGTTTATTTAATTTATCCTATTTTTCTCTGTTAACATTCTACTACACTGTGCTATTATGTAAAGATGATGCAAATGTCATCCCTACTATTTTTTTTTACATTGTTTTCGAAGGATTGATACTAGCTATACCTTTAATTCCTTTTTGAAAAATTTTTCTTTACTTGTTTTTTTAATGTAGTGTTTCAATATACTTAGAAAGATTGTATTTATAACCAAGTTCTAAATATAATGAGGTGACAACTGTAATATTTATTGTTTACCTATTATTGGCTGGTAATTCCTGTTTCACCCTGTACTTAAACTTTTTAAAGGAATGCTAACTTCTGGAAGAAAGCTGACTTCAAAGGGTAATGATAACATTGTTTACACTAGAATTATGATTCTTTTACTACTAGTTAATAATAGCTATAAAAGCAGATACTCTGTTTGAAACTATGTCTCAACAGTGAAATTGGTTGACACCATTGTTTTGGTTTTTGAGTTATCGTGTAATAAAAAGAAGCAGTGGAAAGAACGACAAGAAATTCAAACTTTTTGCTGTGATAATGCCAGAACTTGTGACTCAGTCATTACATAGATATTGTTATAAAAGGAAACACAGTATAGTATTGTAAAGTTTTGATGATCTATTGAGGAGATATTTAAAATACCAATTTGATGAACAATCTGTGCCATCCCCACATAGGTCGTGCTTCCATCTGATTGATAAAATTAGTCTTAGGTATTTTCTAGAATAATAATCTTTACATAATAAATGCAATAAAGAAATAAAAAAAAACATAAAATTTTCATATGAAACATCTTTGATTTCTGATTTTCTAGTGAAAGTGATATAACTATAGTAAATTTAGAAAGATGAAACTTTATTGTGAAGGAACACCTACAAATTTCTACTTCATAGAGCTTTATATCAATTTTGTTGCTTTTATATCACTGTCCAGAGTAAAATGATACGCCCAACAACTGAAGAGATACACTCATATGATTTCTCATAATTATTGTTTTCATATCTCTTTTCAAAACTAACCTTTGAATACATACTTGTGGAACATAAAATACACGTTGTTTTGTATTATAATATTTATTCATTAAAAGTTTATTGGATGAAGGGATTTACTTGACTGAAGGTATATTATAGAGCTTTACCAGTAACGTATCTACATATCATCACATTTATACATTCAGAACTTGAAAAATAAACACAAATGATACACGTTTTGTTAACAACTAATAGTATCTTTCTTTACTGAAAACCTATTTATTGATAAATGATAAATTTTCTCTAGACATGCCCTCTATATCTCTGGTAATTTGAAAAATATATACCATCAGTGTTATCATTATGAAAAATAATTATTTTAAGAAGACTAGTTTAAGAAACAAAGCTAAGCATATTCAACACGATGATTTGTACCACTATATATGCAGAACATCAGTCTGGAACAATTATGCATTATGATTAATATAACTGTAAAAGAAATATTAAAACAAAAATACTTTCTTTTTTTACCTGTACAAATAGTTTTGACACTACACTTGGTTTATAGTGTACATGGGCACCTGCAGGAAGGGAAAAGTGGTCACCTAACTCACCCCCCCAAACCTGGATTTTCAAAAAGACAAAAAATCATAAGGTATTTGTATTTCGATTTCATAATTTTTTGAAACTTGAGTTACTTGACCCCCCTAATTTTTTTCTGCGGGTGCCCTTGACCATGCAGCTTCTATGGTATCACACACACTTCATAGTGTCCTATAAACTTTCTATAAACAAATGTTTGTAAGATAAAACTAAAACTGGTATAATTTCTGTAACTTTGCATCCTTAAATTGTTTACAAAAGATAGTACAAATTATGTGTAATTTATATGGCTCTTATACTAAGATTCATATAAAAGTACACATATAATCATCAACAAAAGAAGAACTATAAAAATTTAAACTAACAGAATCAAATATTGCCACAAAAATCTTAGAAACTTCTTTTTGGTCCAACAGTTGATGAAGTAAGTTTATTTATGATACATAACTATCAACTTTCACATCATGTAACGTGTATATAGCAAAATCATCTTTTTACAGTGGCTTATGAAAATATAACATTGCCTCAAAAATATAATCATGGTTAACAAGCTTTGAAAGCTATAAAAAATGGTCAGTGATTTTTTTTAACAATGTGATGTGCTTCAGAAAGTCAGAGAGGAAAGATGTTCAAACACAGATATGTGTGTGTGTGTGTTTATCATACACATATATAGCCAATTGTTTATACAAAAAGCAGACTGAGGAAAAACGGAAGACCAAAAAAAAAGTTGAACCTTAAAACTTTCAACAGGGTCCACTTGTCTTCCTCAGGAAAAAGTCCATCTGTCAAAAGTGCAATTTTTTTTCCTATTATACACAGCATACCCCCCCCCCGACCCATATATATGTGGTACGTAACTAACTTACCGTTGTAGACACTAACTACTAATTACGAACGGTTAATTTACGACGTGTCTAA